TTGTTATATTTGGCATGAAACTTAGGATGTACTTATAAATTTATCAAATCAAATGCAACTCAGCTTAACGTGCAGTTGGCTTACATATGTTAGAGCCTAGGCAGAAGACTATGATGCCAGGCTTGCCAAAGCCACAGTCTACACATACTTGGTTTCATTAAAACGCTTAGTAAGGCTGCAGATTATGTTTGCTATATATATAGTTCAATTTACAACACATTCAAATGATAATGCACACACCATTTTAATTTCTGTGCTTTGTAATGAGACAGAAGGGTTTTCCTTTTTTTTTTTTTTTTTGAGACAGGGTCTCGATCTATTGCCCAGGCTGGAGTAGCAGTGGCATGATTCTGGCTCACTGCAATCTCCATCTCCCAGGTTCAGGCAATCCTCCCACCTCAGGCTCCCGAACAGCTGGGACTACAGGTGCACACCATCACGCCCAGCTAATTTTTGTATTTTTTTGTAGAGGCGGGATTCTGCTATGTTGCCCAGGCTGGTCTTGAACTCCTAGGCTCAAGCCATCCTCCCATCTCAGCCTCCCAAAGTTCTGGGATTACAGGCATGAGCTAGTGCACCTGGTTCACCTTTTCTCTTTCTGAATGAGATCAACTGGTAATAGATTTTCTCACTAGCTTGATTCAGCCATTCTGCAATATACACATATTTCAAAACATCATGTTGTATACCACAGATACATACAGTTTTCATTTGCCCATCTTAAAAAAAAAAAAAACATGTAATAATATGAAAAAATAAGGTAGGTGGAGTGGCTCACATCTGTAATCCCAGAACTTTGGGAGGCTGACATGGGAGAATGTCTTGAGCCTAGGAGTTCAAGAGCAGCCTAAGCAACAAAGTGGGACCCTGTCTCTACAAAAAATTTAAAAATCAGCATGGTGGCATGCACTTGTAGTCTCAGCTACACAAGAAGGTTCGCTGAGCCTAGGAGGTTGAGGCTGACTAAACCATGTTTGTACCTCCTGCACTCTAGCCCAGACAACAGAGCAAGACTCTATCTCCCAAAAGATAAAAAATATAATAAAATAATAATAATACTTTGTTAGCTGGTACCATAGAGTTGCTAGAATCATTAAAATACTCAAAACAAGAATTTGGAAATTATAACTTATAAGTGACTATAAGTCAGAATTCACCAAAAAATTATTTAAAAAACTTAAGATGTTAATATATTAGCTCAAGTCTTTATAGAAAAGGACATGAAATTAATATTCTACTATTAGAATATACTGGACAGAAAGGAAACATACATTAAATGAAAAGCTTGAGCTGCATTTGCTATTCTATTATTTCACCAAAATGAAAGGTAGAGAGAGGCTGAATGAAAAAGGAGATCAGAAGTCCGGACAGCTTAATAGCTTTCCTGAGTGTAAATTTCATCCTTATTTGAAATAAAATAAAGAGAATTCTCAGAAACCTATGACAATTATTCAGATCATCTGCCTTTCTGAACTACAATCACTATTGCTATTCTCTACCAAAGCAGCTGCTGAAACACAGGCACCACATTTTATGGACTACTATAAGACAATGACAGTAAGAAAATCAAATTTTCATTATGTGACCGAGGAACTAAGCAGTATATTTTTCTTCCTAGTAAATAATTTCATTTTAAAATGAGAAAAACCTTTGCTGCTAAATTTTTTTATAAATAATGATTCAGAACCTTTACCAGCAAATGCTTCCTCCTTCTCTTTGAAGAAAGAACCACGATATCACTGGACAGCTCTCAAAAAATGTCTAATGCTATAAACAACACAGTGCAAGAATGACATAATTACTAAAAAAATACATTAACTTATATTCTAAGAGACAAGTGAAACAAATTTTGTTTAAAGTTGTTGGCAAATGAGCTTGTATTCATAATTAGATTTATTAAATGTTATAATACACAATCCCAGCTTCAGTTGAAAACTGCTGTGGTATCCTCAGCATATCTAAGAACAGTGGGTATCCAAGAGCAAGACCAAGGTATTGGAAATCTTCCTAGAGATGACAATATAAATCTACATTAACTATCTACTGTAGTAAATTACTTCAAGTAAAATCAGCCACTTAAAGAATGATTGTTCTATAAACCAATACTACATATAATTAGAATGATAAAGTGGGGGTGTGAGCAGTGGAAAGACAAACTGTTAGGTTATAACTTAAAGGTTACCATTACTGTAGGTGAAAAAAATACACTTTCCATGTATTTAAGATACCACATAGGCCAGGTGCGGTGGCTCACACTTGCAATCCCAGCACTTTGGGAAGCCCAGGCAGGCAGCTCACCTGAGGTCAAGAGTTCGAGACCAGCTTGGCAAACATGGCAAATCCCTGTTCCAACTAAAAATGCAAAAAAAAATTAGCCAGACACGGTGGCACCCATCTGTAGTCCCAACTACTTGGGAGGCTGAGGCACGAGAATTGCTTGAACCTGGGAGGTGGAGGATGCAGTGAGCTGAGATTATACCACTGCACTCCAACCTGGGGTGATAGAGCAAGACTGCATTGCAAAAAGAAAAAAAAAAAAAAAAAAAAAAAAAAAAAAAAAAAAAAAAAAAAAAAAAAAAAAAAAAAAAAAAAAGAAAGGAAAAGCAAAGAAAGGGGAAAAGAAAGGATACTACAAAACAGTTTAATTTCAAAGGGAAAATGCTTCTGGAGGTTTACAGTCATGCATTGCTTAAAGATGAGGATATGTTCTGAGAAATACATTGTTAGGCAAGTTCCTTGTGTAAACATGGAGTGTGCTTACAAAAACCTAGATAGTACAGCCTACTATACACCTAAGCTATATGGTATAACCTATTGCTCTTAGGCAACAAATCTGTCCAGCATGTTACTGTAGTGAAACTGTAGGCAAATGTAACAAAGTGTTACCTGTGCATCTAAACACATCAAAACATATAAAAGGTACAGTAAAAATACAGTATCATAATCTTACTGGACCACTATCATCTGCAGTCTGCTGCTGACCAAAACACTGTGTTGCTGAGCAGTGCATGACTGTGCAGCAGGTCCTTGCTAACATCATTTCGTTATAGCTTTGATGAGGAAAAAATTGGATTCCAGGCTGTGGCCACTGTTTGTATGGAGTTTGCATGTTCTCCCCATGTCTGTGTAGCTTTTCTCTGGGTATTCCAGTTTCCTCCCACATGCCAAAGCTGTGTACATTAGGTGAACTGGCGTGTTGAAATTGTTCCCATTTGAGTGAATGTGAGTATGTGGGAGTGCACCCTGTCAGGGAATGGTGTCCTGTTGAGGGCTAGGTTCCGTCTTGCACCCTTAGCTACTGGGATAGGCTTCTGCCACCCACTACCCTAAATCAGAATAAGTGGGTTGGAAAATGAATGAATGAATACAAGTTATCGTCATACAAATGCATATAAATGCTGCTCTATGGAAGTGTTTAGTGAGCCCACCAGATTTGTTCTTTTTGTTTTTGAACTGCATGGTAGTAGGAGGTGCTCCTTACAATTTTCACTTTGGAAACATTTATTCCTTGATTTAATCCACGACTATCACCATCATCACTCACTGATTCACTAAAAAAGTGGGTAAATAATTATTTAACTTGTTTTCATTAATCTTTCTTAAATGTATGTACAGTTCACACTTACTTCAATGTTAAATATTAAAAGTGTTTTGGATCTTTATTTAGAAGTTTGGTGATGTTTTTGTTACCAGAATAGGCCATAGGAACTTCTTGTTTAGATCAATTAGCCCATGGTACAATTGGTTTAATTATATGCTGTTGTGCTGACATACTTTTCAAGAACCTATCAATGATGTTAAATGAGGACTTACTAATATGCACGTTGTTTGGGGGAAGAAAAGGAATGATATTAAGAGTTTTAACAACAATTTTTCAGTTCACAGGCCCTGGAAATTTGCTAATCCAATTTCTACCACTTTTCACAGATAAGGCAAAAACAGTTCTAAAAAGACAAGGTGACTTGTTCAAGGTCACAAGTAATAGTACAAACAACACTAGAATTCAGGTCCTAAGAATCCTTGGATGTTGTCGTTTTCCCTATATTAGGTGCTACGGATATGATATCTAGCATAAAAGCAAAGTAAAATGAGTTAAATTCAAACAGTTTAAAAGAAGGCTCTCAGAGCAGTGCAATATTAGCTACAAGCTACGGATTAAGCCCTTGAGGGCTAATATGTAGTAATGCAAGGTGTAAATACAATGTTCAGATTAAAATGATAGCTAACACTTACAGAGTAATTATTAGGTATCCAGTATTATCCCATAACCATTTTATATATTTATTTATTCTACCTATGAGCTAGATACAATTGCTTTCATTTTGCAAATGAGGAAAGAAGCTATAATAAAGCTAGCTAAATGATGGGGCCAGAAAACAAGAAAAGATTCCAAAAGAAACGGGGAAAAAAAGTTTCTTATGTACCTATTTTACATTCATGATCAAAATAAATAAACATTCAAGATTATACATAATTTTAAAGGCAAGATATTTTAGATATATCCTGTTTTTTTTTTTTTTCCTTTTTTCCTTATCAGATTCCTCTGGTGAGAATTACTGGTTTTTACAAAAAGTTAGTGGTTAACTTAAGGGCATTCTTTTTTTACAAAAGCCTGTGATGCAGATCAGCAAAAGGTCATGTAAAGATCTATACAATAATAGGGAATGCAAGGAAATTTCAGTACATCTTCTCAAAACAGAAGAATAAACATTTCAACTTAAATAAGGTTTGCAGGTCACACGTTTTCTGTAAGTAAAACACTAAATCATCTGCTCTGCACTAAGACAAGCAACAATTACTTCAGATGAAAAGTTAACCTCAACTTCCTGTACTAGGAATAAAATTTATCTGTTTTAGGGCACACTTTGCACTAATTCTGTAACATGGGATAGATGGATAGATATACATCTGGATGGACAAATGGACTACAGTTATTTCTGAACCTACAGAAAATGATAATATATGGTTCTTAATTTTTAGAAGCTACTTTTATAACTTACCATCTTTTTCCTCTTATCTTGCTCTGTGGGTGGTTCTTCATCTTCTGTAACTTTTGGTTCCTCAAGATGAGACATCAACATACAGCTATAATAATTTTTTAAAAAACATGTTTTAAATAAACAATGTCTATAGACACTTAATAAGTCCTTAAAATCACTAAGAACATGAACAATTTTATGTACCAAAATGTGAGAAAAAGACTAGATAATCTAGATTTAAAATTTAACAAAATTTTTGAATTATGAAAAGATATCTCACTATAAAAAGGGTCCCACTAAAACATTTTAGAGCATTTTACTTGCGCATTTAAGATAGTAATTATTTTTATTTTTTGAGATGGAGTTTTGCTCTTGCTGCCCAGGCTGGAGTGCAAAGGTGCTATACCAGCTGACCACAACGTCCGCCTCCCAAGTTGAAGTAATTCTCTTGCCTCAGCCTCCTGAGTAGCTGGGATTACAGGCATGCACCACCAAGCCCAACTAATTTTGTATTTTTAGTAGAGGGTTTCTCCATGTTGGACAAGCTGGTCTTGAACTCCCAACCAAGTGTTGGGATTACAGGAATGAGCCACCGTGTCCAGCCAAGAGTAATTTATAGGCAACTTCTGAAACAATGAAACATCAACTGACAAAGTAATGCATGTATACTCTTTATATGTTATTTAAAAATGACACAAACTCTTAAAATACTTCTTTTCCCCTAATTTTCACATCTACAAAGTTTTATACATGTAATAATTTAAACATCACAAACATATTAATTATGTGACAATCTATCTTGTGTTCCAAATGACATTACTGTGCTGTGAGAAACTTGTCCCTGAGAGCTTGTATTTTCTGGGTAGTTATAAACCATTTTATTTTTATTTTCTGCACCATGCTCTTTACCATTAGCAGAGATAACAGAAACAGTTTCCTGTTCAGTCAATATTGGTTCCAGGGAGACCAGAAATGAACACTATCTAGTGAATCAAACCGATGGAACAAACCCCACTGTTTACTGATTTGTAACAGAAGAATTCAGTAATCTATCAGCATGATTACAGGTTCTTAACAAATAAACTGTGGCAAAGACAGTTTGTTTTGTAGCAAGTATAGGTGAAGGACAATTCCTGACTCAGCTGTGTAAATAGCTTTTAATATAGAATTAAAACACAGGTGCTGATACTAGAAAACTTGAACAGGCTTATTTTTGCAGTGGAAATGAGTGTCCTTCATTTCTATTTCCTACCATTAACAAAAACAATGTTTGGGCTGGGTGTGGTGGCTCATGCCTGTAATCCCAGCACTTTGGGAGTCCGCGCTGGGCAGATCATAAAGTCAAGAGATCAAGATCATCCTGGCCAACATGGTGAAACCCTCATCTCTACTTAAAAAAAAACAAAAAACAAAAATTAGCTGGGTGTGGTGGTGCACGCCTGTAGTCCCAGCTACTCAGGAGGTTGAGGCAGGAGAATCGCTTGAACCCAGGAGGCAGAGGTTGCAGTGAGCCAAGATTGCACCACTGCACTCCAAAATGGTGACAGAGCAGGGGGAGTTTGGAGTGACTGCCTCTGATCCAGTCAGTGCCTACTGGTGTGATCAAAGAATAAAAACCTTAGGCTAGAAATAAGAAGTCCCTGAAAAACAGCAAGAACCCAATCCCTAACTTGCCTCGACCTCTTGGGGCTGCAATGCTTTTGTCTGCCATGACATAATACGAGTATGGAACAAGTAGCTGGCCAGTAAACTCCATCCGACACAAAGTGAGACAATTACATTATTCTAACAAGCCAAAAGCTAAAAAGGTCTACATCCCAATTTGTATTTTAGAACTGAATAGTAATATGGGGTTCTTTTACACTAGCCAGTTTATGTCTGTTGCAGATTTGAATTCTAACTGCAACGATCATGGATCTGCATGAAAGCATGCTCTACTTTGCATCAAATTCTTCCACTGTATTCCAAAATCTGTTAACTTACTCATATGGTGAATGCTCTCTGTTTTGCCTTCCCTAAATTAAAAGATTTATCATATTAAGGCCAGGCATGGTGGCACACACCTGTAATCCCAGCACTTTGGGAGGCTGAGGTGGGCGGATCACTTGAGTTCAAGACCAGCCTGGGTAACATGGTGAAACCCCTTCTCTACTAAAAAAAAAATACAGTAACTAGCCAGGCATAGTCACAGGTGCCTGTAACCCCAGTTACTTGGCAGGCTGAGATGGAAGAATCGCTTGAACCTGGGAGGTGGAGGTTGCAGTGAGCTGAGACTGCACCACTGCACTCTAGACTGGGTGACAGAGCGAGACTCCATCTCAATCAAACAAATAAAAAGATATATTAATATTGGAGCATATTCTGGAGATACATACATATTTTGTTTCTTTCACTGACCAAAAACTAGACAAAAAACAGTATTTGAAAAGCCCAAAGCTAAAACTGTCATGCAGAAAAATTTTCAATTAAAAGTCAAATCTCGTTTTGTTGACAAAGATTAAAGATAGACAATCGTGTTTTACATAAAAGACATGTAAAAATTTCTAATGAACTAAAATGTGTAGACTGTGCATGCATTAATAGTTATGCTAAAAACAGTAAACACAACAGTTTAAAATAGGAATGACTAACATGAATATAAGTGGCCACTCCTCCATTCTAAACTCATGGCAGAAATCACCAAATAGATCCAGGCACTCCAGTCCGCTAAATAAAAATCTTTCTCAAGAAGAAACTCAACCAGCTAAACAGAACCAACAGGTGTTGGCACGAAAAAATAAAGCCTTTTAAATCATTTCTGGGTTTAAAAGATACCTGAAGTAATACCTTTCATTTAGTCTATACAAACTCTGCCCTAAGTAGTTCAGCCATTTTACAGATGAGAAAAGGCTGAATTTACAAACATTAATTGGGCACTGATAAATAGTATTTTACCTCAAAATTTTTGTAAATGAACTTTTCCCTACTTCAGGGTATCAAAATTGGATGCTTTCAATTTGCTCTTATTCCAGCACCTGAACAGAGTCTAAGTGCATCTGTCTACAAAAAGCTTAGTTCCACTCTACCTGCAGCCCATCTGTTTACACAGGAGGGATAGCTGGGGGCAAAGGCCAAGTATTCAAGTCACTTTCTTGATGTCCAATATCAGCGATTCTCAAACTTGAGCTTTCAACTCAACCACCTGAAGGGCTTTGTTAAAGCACAGCTTGTTGGGCCCCACTCCCATAGTGTCTAATTCAGCAGATTTTGATGGAGCCTGAGAATCTGCATTTCTCACAAGTTCCTCTGTGATGCTTTCTCATCATTTCCTACATAATGTTAATGCTGCTGTTGTTGAAGAAGTTGTTGGGGGCACACATTTTGTTAATCACAGTCCTGTGTTAGGCCAAACCACCCAAAGTGCTTCCTACTTATATTTTTTTATGTCTGGCTTCCAATAAATTGACTTTAATAATGATTTTTTTTTTTTTTTTTACTGCTATGTAACTGACTTTCAACTAGGCTGATAAAAAAAATGATTTATGGGCCAGGCGTAGTGGCTCATGACTGTAATCCCAGCACTTTGGGAGGCTGAGGTGAGCAGATCACTTGAGGTCAGGAGTTTGAGACCAGGCTGGTCAGATTGGTGAAACCCCATTTCTAATAAAAATATAAAAATTAGCCAGGCGTGGTGGCACATGCCTGTAATCCCAGCTACTCGAAAGGGTGAGAAGAAAGAACTGCATGAACCTGGTAGGCAGAGGTTGCAATGAGCCGAGATCATACCACTGCACACGAGGCTGGGCAACAGGGCGAGACTCCAGCTCAAAAAAATAATAACAATAAAAATAATAATTTATGGGTTGCTTCACATATGACAAAACAGACACTATTCAGTTGGTCTCTATAGTGGGCACTTCGCTTGCCTATTTAATCAGCCTCTTTCTTAACTGAGCCCTGAATCTGTCCAATTATCCTCTTCTTCCATGCTACCACTGTTTCAGAAAAAGCTGATCCCATCCCCAATGCCAGTGGTTCAATAAGTAATCATGGAACTCCCATTTTCCTGGTCAACGATTACTTTCAGCAGGGGCATGTTTAAGGAATTCTGGCCAATCAGGCATAAGAAGACGTCTAATGCAATCATTTCCAGGAAAAGTTTGCTTTGATCTTTAAAAAGACATAAGGAAGAAGATTACTTATCTGTCACGGGCAATGCCACAAACTGTAATGCCTAAAACTACTTTTTATTGATAAGGGATGGTAGCCTGCAGATGAGGTTAATGTGCTGAGGGGATGGGGTAGAAAAAACCTGGGGTTTGATGATGCTGCTAAGGCCACAGTGAGCTAATCCTGCAGTCACTTACCTACAATCATTAGGTTATCAGAAACAACTAATTCTTTATTGTTAAAACAGAAAGCCCTTTAACAGGGTCTTATATAAATACCTCATGAAAAATGCATTTCTGGGCTCAGGGCATGACACTCCAATGAGAATAAATATAATTATGAGTCTCTCTCTCCTGTGTTAAATATTTAGCCTAAAGTTTCCTCCTCACATATTTTAAGTTCAACCTGAAGGTCTCTCTGTACATAGCAAAGTGTAACCTAACTGGAAGTGTAAAGAGACTGTAACCCACTCTTGTACCAGTCAGAGTTTCACAGGTGGCTGACTGTTGAAACCATGTTCAAACAAGGCAAACGCAGAGCTGTAACCAATCCAGCTGTTTCTGTACTGTTTCCCTTTTCTGTACCTCACCTTCCCTTTCCTGCTCATAAATATTATCTTGACCAGGTGTTGCCCTGAAGACACTGTGAACCGATTCTGGTTCTGGGGGCTGCCCAATCTGTGAACAATTACTTGCTTAATAAAACTCTTGTTAAATTCTTATTAAAATCCCTTCAATCCTGTGTTAATAGTTTTCTGTTATAATGAGCACGTGCTTTCTTATGCACTGTCTCTAATCCTCTTACAGTCACTAGACTGAATATAAGCAACTAAATACTGTATATTAGCAGTAAAGACAAAGTGCCATGAAGAAACAGGGAAAGATGCAATGATTCTTCCTGTAAGTCTGGAATGCAATTTTAGCGGTAGATATTTGCTAAGGAGGGTAAGGGTGAGGG